AGGCAAGGAGGCAGACTTAATAGATGACGACCGATAGGGTGACTCAGGATGACCAGTCCTGGCCGAGGACAATCCCGTTGGATCTAAAGACTTTCTTCTAATAAATGAGCAGACTATAAAAGCAACCAGGAAGTTCAGATGGGTGACTCAAAGTTAACATTTCTACTATCAGAGAGAGGCTTACAAAACAAACAGAGGAAGCAAAGGAGCTCTATTTTATAGGACAGAAAGAGAACAATACTTTAGATAAATAACAGGAAGGATTAATGAAGCTTTTTAAGCTTCGTCTGTTTAGGAAAGAGAATTCAGACAGAGATCAACGTTTCTGTTTGCTGTATTTGAACCCAGTAGTTATTTATATTTGTTTTAACTTTCGCAGCGTCTGTTTGATAGACAGACGGGAAATGGGATGACTAAAGAGGGGGAAGCCCTGCAGCAAAGATCTGAAGGAACTCACTGATCTAAAAATAAGTCAAATATCTTAAAGTGAGGTTATTTTCCCTGATTTGAGACAGTGATCTGTCAGACCAGCATACCCATAGTCAATACCCGTTTACCCCTTTAGTTTATCCCTTCAGTTTTGTAAGAAAATTAAACTTTAAACTTTCTAAACTTTACATTGTGGAGTCTGGGGGATTTCCACGGGGCTGTCTCTCCTCCTCCCTTGGTGGTGGTGGTGTTGGTGGGGGGGCAGATTTCTTCTGTAGGCCCCTTTTGGATGCCTTTGCTCTTGGGATCCCTTTGGGCATCTGGGGTTTTGGGTCCCCTGGTGCTCGTCTCGGTGCTATGGAGGGGCGCGTCTTCGGCTCTTCACAACCACTATTGAGCATTTTTCCTTTTGATGAACCTTACCATGCACAGTGCACCCTCACAAACAACTACAGGTGCTTGGTTCCAGGTACCTAGAGATTCACTTCCATACAGAAAGCCCATATTTCTTATCTTCCTACCACAGTAGATTAAATAATACTACTTATAGTATCAAGGTGCTACTTTATTGTATCTCTTATACTATATCTGTTGGTTGTGCTTTTCTTTTTACATCTCTTTGCAGGTGATGAAGCAGACTAAAGACGTTCATCTTTTCTCCTTTTTCTTTTCCCACTTTCCCACTGCAGTGTCCATATAATCTGTAATACTCCTTGCATGAATTATAGTAAAGCTACTTATATACATAAATCAAGCGGAACACTATGGTGACAGCCATACTGCTCCACTTGTGAAGGCGAAATCGGTTTGGCATCAAGACAATTATTCTTATTGCCAAACAGGACACTGAAAAGAAAAAGAAAAAGGAAGTTTAAACTGCCTCAATGGGCGTGTATCCCTTTGGTCATACACAAAAAAATTACTTTAATTACTTAATTTTTGGTGTTTTTTTAAGTGTATGGAAATCTCACCTTAAATAGTTTTTTTTTTGTACTGGACTAAAAGGATACACGCCCGCTGAGGTAGTTTAGAGTCTTTTTTCATATAAAACTAGGATAGAAAGAAATCTTATGTCTTGCGCATGCGTATTGACTATGGGTATGCCAGTCTGATGGCGTATGCTCATTTGACGGAACACCAGTAAATAAGACGATCTAATAGCGGATTGGGTACATTAGATATTATCCACAAGAAATAAAATAGTGGAGTCGTTTTCCTCTGATTTCCAACATAAATCATATTATTCCAGTGGGAAATCATCTTACTTGCTCAAATTAAGGTGAAAGTACACCAATTTAAAGAATCATGATTCTCTTATGTTTTCATTTTTATGTTTGTTTAACAATAATGAGAAACCCCAGCTTATTTTCTATTATAGCCCCCGGATCCACATGACACCTAATCATCATCATCTTTAAAGAGAAATACAGATAAAGAGCTAGATAAAGATGCCAGCAGCAGATCATGCAACAGATAATAACACAGCGACACGGTGTCTGTGTTTGTGTATGTTTACTGTAGATCTATGATGTAAAGAGACTCTGCTCTAAAATGTGGCTGAAGTTCAACGCTTTCTTAGCAGTAAAGCCAGAAAAAGCCCTTTTTACGCCATAATTCAAAAACAGAAATGACATATTTTTCATAGCAGAGGCTAAACAGCTCATAAAGACACCAAAGGGAGCAGATTTGACAGAGCAAGTCAAATAACTGTCACATCATTGTTAATTATCGTATAAAAACAGAGGAGATAATGGGTGCGGTCTTGATTTTATGCAGTGAAGTAATATCACAGCGACCAAACTTCCATTTCTTCCAGCCAGGAGGGAGTGAGTGACGTTTTTTTTCTTCTTTTTAAGAAGGCATAGATTCAGACCTAAAAACTGTGGTTGCCATAAACAACTGCGGGGCTGCAGGGGGAGGCAAAAGGTCGTAAACATTTAGCTGCAGGAGAGCAGGGTCTGAAAGGGAGAGGTTAAATACTCGGCGTGACCCTGGATGCCTGAGTGTCAGGGAGCACCATGGTAACACTAGTGCAGGTAGAAGCAGGTTGGCCCCTAACTTCAGGTGCCCCTCAGGCTACACATAATCTGTTTTCTGCTTTCTCTTTAGCGGCACGGCGCTGGACGGCCTCTCCCATCAGTGTCTTGGAGCTGAGGCTCGCATTCTTCACTCCAGGTTAACACTTGCTTTGCATCCTTGGGGCGTTTGTTTAACTGCTGTGGATGATTGATTGCCTTCCAAAAGCTAATTCCTGTTGACCAATAATGAGGTGCTAAATACCAACTTTTAACAACTGCTAGCTCCGGGAGAGACACAGGCTAAGGAGGCAGAACTTGGATTTCCCTGTTTCTCCACTATTCTGGCTAAAATAATTCAACCTGCAGGGAACTGCCTGCATCCAAACAACCCAAGGACGCCCCGTCTCTGCTCACTCATAAATAACACCGTCTCCGTAAAATCAATAGAGACAAACAGGCTGCTAATGTTTCCAGCAGATATCCTGAATCAGAGGGGGGAAAAAGTCAGGAAAATTTTCCCATTTTTGCTTAAACCTTTTCAGTTATTCCATACATGGATAAAAGCCCCTCTGATTGCTCTGAAAATAGAAACATTAGGAAACCAAGCATAGGCTAATCTTGTTAAATGGATTATGGTTTTTGTGAAGCTGAGAACAGGAGCATAACCCCCTCCCCTTTCTGAAATGTAACACACATTAAAAGGTCTGTCCAAAGCGCTAATGTTACACCTTATGGCTGTCGGGGCGTATGAGAGGAACAGGAAGGCTGTGATCATATAAGTAATCCCTGGTCTAATCTGGCAGATCTCAGCTCTGAGGGCGGATCAACCTGATATCTGACGCCATCCTCTATGACTGTTCACCTGCTAATTATCAAGAGTAGAATAACAGCAGGCAGCGTTGGTTCACATAATCTACATCTAACCTCCACAGAGCTCTATGAGGGTAGCAAAAAACTTTCCTTATTTTAACTCATAAGAAAAGTGTTTGGATTGGATTTAATGTGATGGACTGAAACTAAAGATTTGAAACTTTAGAAATTTTTTTATTTATTTCAGAATAACCAGGTCAGAAAATTTAAAGCACAAAAAGGCTGTTTTTTTTCACTTATTCAGCGTTTAAAAATGGTCAGGATCGACCAGAACCTCGGTTTAAAAGTCTTCTAGTCTCTAGTCTCTAGTCTCACTGGTTTTGAGAAGAAAGGTTTTCCCCGTAGCGGTGGCTGCAGGGTGCCGTGCGGCGTCCGATATCCCTGCATGCATCTGGTCATAGTCGTCTAAAGCTTCTCCTCTGCCCATTTGGTTCTTCAGCGTAAAGGTTAGTGGTGAACTGAAAGCTGAATTCCTGATGGTTTTCACAGTTCACTAATGGGAGGCCATTAAAGTAAAGAACGGAGCTGGATTCAAAAGCTACTTTTCCTCCACTTTGTGCTGCTCTATCATGTGAAATCCCGCTAACTTTTATGGTTAGGTAGCAAAATGTGACAAACCCAAGCAGAAAATAAAGAATAAAAAAGCTCTACATAAAGAGGAGCGGGGGGGAGAGCGAAAATGGACCCAGGCTGCGTCGTTACAGTTCACCACTGATGAAAAACAGAAACCTAATGTGGTTAAATCAGAAAAAGGTTGAACAGTGGGAGCGGATCGTCCAATCCCACATCTGCTCTCCATTCTGACGTTGAACGAGAGCCTAACGAAAAACTGGGACCGAGCTGACAGCAAAAGCAGCAAACAAACAGAGTGGGTGTTAATGGAGTGAAAGAAAGCAGAGGGAAAAGTGAGAGCAAGGAAGAGGAGAGCAGGAGGAACTGCGGAGGGCATTGGAAGCAGCTCTACGCAGCGCCGCTGCCGTCTGCCCACCCAGGCTTTAATGTGAGCACGCCAGGTTCTGAGGCTCACAAACCTCATCTTTCAGCACCACCCACAGTGTCCCCCTCTCTAATGAGACCTACGGTGTGTGCGTGTGGTGCTGGTGAACGGCTCCAACTCTCTAACAGTCAGGAAAAGACGTTTGGGCAAAAAGTGTCGCCACAAAGCTCTGTTACTGTAAAACGAGGCTGATGTGAGTAAACGGCTCACCTCCGTCTTCCCCTCCGCCATGCGGCTGGTAAATACGGGAATTATGCGAATGATTAGGAGGCGTGATGGGGGCCCAGTGGTGCAGGGGCTAACGGAAAGAACCGACCAAATGAAACCAGATCAGCAGAGCTGAGCTTTTCCAAAGACAGCAGACATGGTCGCCACATGTCTTCCTGCCTTTGTGCCATTTCTGTTTCATTTGTAAACAATTTGTTACATCTTAGGATCCAAACTCTTTAGCGCAAACAGGCTTATAGAAGTAAGAAAACCCCTTCATGGTAACAAGGCCAACCCTGATCTCCAGCTGATCATTTCAGTTAGCTGTGATGTAGCACAATGTAGCTTCTATGTGTGGCTCTGTATTAACAGATGGTTCCTAATTACCGGGAAGTTTTCCAGTTTTCAGTATACTAATGGTTTATTTTGGGGCCCCTGCACCCTTTTTAAAAAGGTCTAAATTCAGAAGAGGCACTAACCTGATCCCAGGACCGTGGATCTGGCTCTGCAGGTGCTCCTGCCAGCGTTGGTGATGAAGAGGCATCGGTGAGGCTTGGTGATGAGGAAGTGGGTGAGAGTATGAGCAGGTGGAGAGGCAGCAGGGGCAGGATGAAGCGCCACCTGAGTGTGAACTGGAGCAGGGTCCTGGAACGGGGGCGGCGCTCTGGGGGAGCGGGCAGTCCGGCTGTCCACATGAGCAGCGCAGGGGGGGGTGAAAGCGGCAGTGGGGGCAGCAGAGCGGAGGAGGAGGAGGAGGTGTCGACGACAGGGAAGAGTTTTGGTGGAGCCTGTTTGGCTTCTGGGAGTCTGTGACGGCGGAGGGTGGAGGGGGGGTGTTAGCCAAAGAGCCGTTCAGTCTGATCGCCCCACTGCTCTGGGGGGGCCTGCTCGCCCCCTGCCGTAGTTTCCTGACCTCCAGGTTTCCGTCGCTCCCAGCTGGGAGACAGGAAGCGGCGGGCGGAGGGTCCTGGTTGCTGCTGGCGCTCAAAGGATGGTGTCCTCCATTGCTGAGGGACGGCGGGTCGCCAGCGGGGTCAGTCAGGGCCATGGCGTTTCCCCTGCAGGTCTGGCACCGACACCGCCACTCCTCTGGGAACACAGACAGCACATTCAGGATCCAAACACTGATCAAAGACAATAAACCAGGAGGAACCATGGCGACCTGAGGAGTGGATGTGTGTTTGTTTCTGGAACCGACTTTTGTGGGGAAGAAAAAAAAAAGCTGAAGCCCACAATTATAAAACAAGCAATACTTCTTAAAGTGTTTGCAGAGTTTAGAGAGAAAACAATCACATGAGCTCTGGAGGCTCAGTTTTTATCTAAATCAAGGCCAGAAAAAAAAATCGGAAACTATTTTCTTATCTTTCTAAAGAAAACATGTTTCAGAAAGAAGGAGAAAAGAATACAGCCCACTGGTACCAGACACAAAGGAGAGCCGGCTTATTGGCTCCACAACCAAAACACAGAGGTTCTGATTGGAACCCTGGGTTCCTCTTGGTTCTGTCTGACCTACTTCTCCAATAAAAGCATAAGAATAATGCCAACGTTACGCTCAGGGGCAGATTTAGGAAATTTGGGGCCCTAGGCAAAGACAGGCATGGGGCCCACTGAGTGAAGAACACATAAAACAGACCCATTATACAGATACAGAAATTTTACTAGAATACGTTATTTATTCTACGTTGTGTCCCTCTCTTCTTGTCCCTTTCCTTCTTGTTTTCCTCTCTATGTTTTGTACTCAGATGACTTTTCATGCTGTCTCTAAAGGAATGAAAGATTTTTTCCAAGCACTAAGCTCACTTAGCTGATTGCTCCTTCCTGTGTTTCCAAAAAGGCGACGGCAAAAGTAAATAACCCAGACCTTCTTTTCACTGTAGACAAGCCATGATCTGCTTCTCTGTTCTCCATTTTCATTTGGATGAAATAATAGCTGCATGAATCGACAGCAGACAAGATAGAGGAGAGCAGGAGGCGGGGTTACCAATCTACTCGCTCTGGAGAGCAGAGTTTGCTGCTTTTATATGTTGTCGCCAAAGTCTCAAGTAGCAGAAAAAAAGTTGCTGGATTTGGCGCTCGGGGCTTTTTTGAAATAAAAGCACTAGAGGGGCCTGAAAAGTCGCTAAATATAGCACAGTTTTCAAATGCCTTGCTGCTGTTTGTTTGGACCTTTCTGAACATGTGCATCAAATGAACTGATCCGATATGGTGGACACTGAAGGGGGGGGCTGGAAGACACAGTTAATATTAGAAGCGTCCTGATGGCAAAAGGATTTTTATTGGAAAAATAATGTGTACAAATAAGGAATAGTTGTATTTACTATACATGTAAACAGAGTTTTATGGGGCCCCCAGGAACTTGGGGGGACGCTACCTGTTGTCCATAATGTTCACTTCATGAGGAAATCTTCTGTGTGAAATCATCTCCAGAGGTTCTAGAGCAGTTCCTAGAACAGAGCTGCCTTCTTTAAGTCATTAGCTCTAAAACTGTTACCCCAGCAGAGGATGGAGGCAGAGATCACACTCTCCCCAACTGACCAATAGAAGATATGCAGCATCTTGCTGCAAATGCTGAAGGACCTAAGCTTCCTTAGGAAGTATAATCTGTTCTTTCCCTTCTTATAGACGGCTTCACAGTCACGTCTTCAGTCCAGGTGAACACCAAGGTATTTATACTCCTCCACCTCCACTTCTTCTCCCATCGTGGTAATACTATTTAGATTGTTCCTGTTTCTTCTGAAATCTACTATCATCTCCATTGTTTTGTTGACATTCAGGATCAGATGATTGTTTCCACACCATGACACAAAGCGGTCCAGCAGCTCTCTGTACTCAGCTTCATGTCCATCTTTGATGCACCCAGTGACTACAAAGTCATCCACGTATTTCTGCAGGTGACAGGACTCTGTCTGGTACTGGAAGTCAGACGTGCACAGAGTTAAAATAAATGGTGAGAGTACAGTCCCCTGTGGTGCTCCTGTGCTGCTGACTACTTGATTAGCCAGCTGAGTTTCACAACCTGTGGTCTGTAAAGCCCCATTTCCACTACCCTTTTGAAATATTGCCGAGATCGGTCCCAGCACGACAAACAAGATAACTGTTAAGTGTGGTCCGGCACAACTGAACCGGACTGCGCCAGACACAACCGAACCTGGTACTAGTTCATCAGTGGGACTGGAAGGTTCAGTTCTGGCTCTGTTCTCAGATAACAAAGAGCTTATGAGCAGACCGCTTTCTTTGTCCTTACAGTCAGCCTACCTAATCATGAATTTTATGAAATTCATAAAAATTCTAGCTTCCCTTATCGAGGAGAGCAGCTGTACTTGCTTATAGTTTTAACTTTTTAGGGCAGAAATGATTAATCAAATAGTGATAATAGTGAAATATCCATAATTAATTTAGTGATCCAACCAAATCCTTTCCTGGAGATGCTTTGCTTCAAGAATAACCTACCTACAGCAGTATATAAGATAAAACTCAGCCAATATACACATGTATAAACAGAGCAGATATACTGTTTTCCTATTAAAGATTAAATTAGCATACAAACACATTTTGTTGCAAAAATTTATTAAAAATACTTAATATTTGGGGGAATTATTTTGCCTTTTTTAATTTTACTATTGCATGTATTTGGATTTTAATTTAATTATTTTGAGGCCTAATAAACAGAAGTTCATGGAAGTTACGTTGTCATGGAAACATCAAGAAAGCTAGAGCTGGATATGCCACTCACGGCAGCAAACTGGTAAATGTACAATAGTCTAATGACAGAAACAAGGAGGAAATATGGCACAAAAACGCATTTCGAATTTGTCCGCTCATTAGAGACTTTATCTCCACAACACCAGAGCGCAGCTCAACATTTGGACACCTGTAACCAGGCAGGACACCCTGCCTGTAGCTTAAAGTAAGATCATGATGCGCCACGCACTTTCATATCTATTCCTGCAGTTTAACGTAACCATAATATTTTAGAATGTTATTTTGATCTTGGGTTTTTTTTTGTGTAATATAATTATTTCCTTGTGGTTTGCTGTGTTCATCATGTCACATGTGACATGAACACAATAACTGAGGTTCATGGCAGCTGACCAAATATATGTTGTTACTGTGAAGTTGAATTAATAACGCATCTATACCCCTGAGAACTGATGATGTCTGTGTGTTACAGACCCTGGTTACGTGCACTGAAGGGTATAATACAATAAATTAGTGAATCTCAATATATTTACTTATTTGTTTTTATTATATTTTAAATAGGCCTATAGGCTCATAGGTATTTTTTGTCCAAACAAAAAATTTCTCACAGCAGCCCTGGTTCAAAATTACTTCCATCGTCCCTGTATACACATATCTTTTTTTTTTTTTTTAAGAATCTCCAATTCAATTACAAGGCACAATAGAGTTTTTCTATATTCCAAATGTTTGTTTACTGTATTTCGACATTTTTATTTACTAAAAGCATCTCTTTTTAGATGAATCAGAGAAATGATTGGTAGATTGATTACTAAGAGCAGCTCTTAATGTGTAGAAAGTCAAATATCTTACATTTTGTCTGAGAATTTTTTTCACATCTGATTATCATATTTACTTGTTGCAATTGAGTTAATTGTTGATAATTATAGTTATAAAAATGCAAGTATAAATATTAACCCTGATAGAAATGAAAGATTCATTCGTTAATAAATAGGTGGCGTAGGTGTAGCTCTGTGGCTGCTCTATGTGAGCGAGCTGCGAAATATGAGCACATGAGTCCGCTGGGGTCAGCGGTGGGCTGCAGGTTTGGAGGAGAGCTGGAGACGGGGAATGACTTTGGAGATCAGAGCGCGACAGACAGCGGAGCACAGAGGGAAACCCAGATGAAGTCATTTGTTTTGCCTCTGTTGCTGTCAAAAGCTGGAAGTGATTTTAAAAAGCGAGTCTGAAGCAGCAGCAAGGAACAGAGACTAGATCCGTCAGAAGTTTATGGTGTATTTATGTTTTAGCACCAATTATAGCAGGGTTGTAACAAAGTCTGTTCACTGATGGGTTTTATCCTTAGATCTGTAACACAGTGTGAACACAATCAGAGACCTGTTTCTCTCCTCATTATAAAAACTTCACAGTTGTTCTATTCACTTGGGGAATCTTGAAAACAATATAAAATTGACTTTCTGATCTTCTCCTAATCAATGCTAAAAATCTTACGGATAGAAGTTAATACTTCAGGAAGAGGATGAACGATTTGCATTAGGTTTATATGAATATCTTAAGAGAGGGAGAGAAAATGTTATGTACAGGACTTGAGATCAAATATATACATAAGCTGCTAAATATTTTACAGGTCCAGTTGATCATAGGCGCTCTGATAAATCATTTACAACCAGATTTTAATGATTAACAAAAACTATGAAGCAAAACTCTGACTGAAACGAATCCGAAACCTGATAAAGTGCAGTTTACACTGAAAAAAAATCTAGATAAGTATTTTTTTCTTAAAATAAGTGCATTTGTTCTTGGATTGAGGAGATAAAAGAGATCCATTGCCAATGGAACAAGACAATTTACATTTAAAATAAGGAAAAAAACAATTGCATTGTCTTATTTCAACTGCATTTTATCTAAATATCTTATCTTAAGAGTGAAAATACTAATTCCATTGGCAAATCATTCCAGTTACCTACTCAAGTTAAGGGTAAATACACTTAATCTAGGATTCTTTTTTACTTATTTCTAGATCTTTTTTGCATTTTATGGCCCTAAACTGCTGCTGCTGTCAGAAAAACACTAATCCTCATGCAGGATTATCAAAACAAAGCAGATCTCTGATCAGAAAGATGACAGCCGGTGCAGGTTGGTCAGGAACAATGAATAAAGTGATAAAGTGCTCCTTCTGCTGACTTTCATGTCAGCTTTATGATTACTGGGTGTGTGGGAGAGATGCTCAGACCTTGGGCGACAGCAGCAGAGCAAAGCATCCTGCTTCCCTTTAATTAAAACTAATAGGCAGCAATTACCAGGAATCAGTCAAGAGGCTGTTAATAACAACATTACTCCTCAGAGTAATAACATCAGGCTTTCTGTATGGCTTTAGGACACAGGATGCTTTTTAGTCAGATATCATCCCCTCAGGGCATCTACTCACAGCTGGCTAGTTAAACAAACAAGGACAACTTTAAAATGCTACCAGGATTTAACTATAAACATAAGCTAATGTTTTATTGGAGCAAACAACAAACTGTGTTAAGTCAAACTACATTTACTTTAAGTTTGGATCATTGTGCGAGGATTAAGATGAGAGGGAGTTGATTTAAAATGAACAAAGTTTTCAGCTGTCCGTTGAAGGAGGCTTGTGCTCCTCGGTTTAAGCTAAGGGGTAAAGCAGGCAGCTCCTACCGTGTCTGACTGCTGTCCGCTCCGGAGCAGGCGTCGCTTCGCAAACACCAAACACAAGAGAGAGGGGAAAAAAAAAGAAAAAGTAAAGAGGTCCGGTTGATTTAAAATGTCCGCGAGCGCAGCTAAGCAAACAACACAAGCCGACACAACAGCAACAAGTCCCGCTCAGACAGAGAGAGAGAGAGAGAGAGGCTGTTTCTCATCGGAGTGTGTCCTGCCAGAGTGACAAACAGCCGCACACACTCCGGCCCCGGCTCTGAGGGGAGCGGAGGGACGGAGGCAGGAGGAGCCGGGCTGGGACAGCGTCTGCTTTAACCCGCTCACTGCCGCGGGCTGAACGAGCCCTACACCAAACTCACAGGAGCAACTGCAAATGGTTGCTAGGAGACCGGCGGCAGCGTCACCGAAAATACCAGAAAACGGGAAGCTCTGTCGGGAAACAAAGTAGCGCGGTAGATTGTACAGCTGCTGATGAACAAATGAATGGGAAAAAAAAATACAATTGGTTTGATGCTTTTTTAGTTCAAAGATACACAAGGCTGTGAAGCTGTTTATCCAGTGGTGGAGCTAGTTTCATTATAGGGAAATGGGTGTGGTGTGTAATTATGTCCACTGGGGGGAGCCAAAATCGACCAAAACCGAAGGTTCTTAAAGGAATAGTAAACCCAAAACATGATTAGCCTTCATTTTCTACTCACCCCCATGCTGAACAACACCCTGGAGTACTTTTTTGATATCTCAAATGCATCTGGAGATCTGGGAGGCTTCTTGCTGTCTGCTGACATTCAAATAATGGAGGTCCATGGCGCCCGAGGCAGAAAGGTCCATAAAAGTCCACAAAAAACGTGTCAATATTCCTCCATACTGCTCGTCCAATGTATTCCAAGTGTCCTGAGTGGGTAGCGTCCATAATTTACTCGAAACAAAGTCATTTAGAATGCTTTTAGAGAATAAACAGTAGCGTATAGGATTTCCTAAAAGCGCGTTCACGAGCCAACGGAAACCGCGGCAGACCAACCCGGACGAAAGTGCGCATTCAGCTCGGCAAAGAACTCATGCTCTTCCTCAACACTGAAGTCCTCAGACATTTTTCTTTCGTTGTTTCTTTCTTTGCACAGGTAAACAGCACATTTCTTCTTCTACGCTTGCATTATGGGGAGAGCAGACGCTAAATGCGCACTTTCATCTGGTTTGGTCTGCCGCGGTTTCCGTAGACTCGTGAACTCGCATGTGCGCGCGTTTAGGAAGTCCTATACACTACTGTTTATGCTCTAAAAACATTCTAAATTACTTCGTTTCGAGTAAATTATGGACGCTACCCACTCAGGACACTTGGAATACATTGGACGAGCAGTATGGAGGAATATTGACATGTTTTTTGTGGACTTTTATGGACCTTTCTGCCTCGGGCACCATAGACCTCCATTATTTGAATGTCAGCAGACAGCAAGAAGCCACCCAGATCTCCAGATGCATTTGAGATATCAAAAAAGTACTCCAGAGTGTTGTTAAGCATGGGGGTGAGTAGAAAATGAAGGCTAATCATGTTTTGGGTGTACTATTCCTTTAAGAATATGCTTTAAAGTCGTAGGGAAATCATATATCATTCTGGCTTAAACACAGAGTGTGAAATACGGCGGGGTCCGGGGGGGCTCGACCCCCCCCAATTAACCCATGAGACCCCCTGAAAGCCTTAAAAGCAAAATTTAAAGGCGGTCTTAAATTGTGTAAAAAAAAAATGAAAATAAAATGTTCTGGCTCCTTAGGAAGCCATTGCTCATATTTGCATATTGTTTCTAAGTTATATACTATAAGCTTTCTTATGTATAATATTTGATATAGTCTTATTTTGAAAGCACCGGAAGTTGAGCAGTTGGTGTCTTCCTGTTTAACGAGTAAACACTGCATAGCTACATCTGTTTTCTCTGTGCTGCGTTTTTGGCCAGTACAGCATGTAATTTGATGTGAAGGGTGTATTTCGTTTATGTACATATAGTACTATGTTTCATGTTGTGTTTGGAGGTTTATTGCAAGAAAGGTCACCGAGAAGAGAAGTTTAAAAAGACGGCAGCATACGAGCTAACTAGCCGCTAGCATATACGCTAACTAGCCGTTAGCGATGCCGCTAGCTAGCGGCTAATGTTAACATGTTGTTTGTGTCATTATGCGTTTCTGTACATATTGAGGGAATATGTTGAGTTTATTATTTAGGAGAATTGTGCCTGTTTATTTGGAACAGTGCCTGTTTACACAAAGACTTATGCACAATATTTTTTGTTGCAGTTTTACCATTCATTCATCCATCCATACCAGCCAATAAATCCAAAGAAAAGGCTCACGGTGTGGTTATTGGAAATGACGGTTATCTACCTGCTAAGCTAAGAGTGAGGACAGGACAAAAATAATTTTTTGTCGCTAATGGTCACTAAAATGTTTTTAAGCTCAACATGTCCAGTATTAAAATTCAAAACCCTTATTCACAAATATGCTCTGTTTTTTGCGAAGTGGAGCCAGCCAATCCTTTTCGCGTATGCAAATTAGCCACATGCTTTTCCGCAGTTAATAACACAGGCAATGCGGAACAGACTGTGTGAAGACAGCAGGTCTTCACTCCTGATAATGGACCTCAACGAACCTCCTCTGGACAAATTCGACCCATTTCCATTCATCAAACTGGATTAAAGCAGGACATGTGCGTGCATGAAAGAGAGAGACAGACAGACAGTCTTTGTGCATGTGTGTGTTTTCAGAGACTGACTGTCTATTCAGGCTCTATCCCACTCAGATTCACAGAAAGCTTCATCCACCAAGCTGTCAGGAAGCTGAGCCCCCCTCAAAAAAAAGTCTCCTGCACTACTATTATTACTATATTTATTTACTGTTCTTTTGCACTGTTACTGTTACAAATGCTATATCTTACATAATTGGTAATAATAATATTTTTTCTGCTGCCATTACCATCTGCCTTTTTGCACTTGCATAAGTATTGCATATTTTATATTATTGTACATTTTATATTTTATTGTGAAATTGAATGTTTAAATTTTAGTATTAGGAACTGATCTTATCTGTTGTGCCTGTGCACTTTATCGGTTTCACTGTTGGTGAATGAGAAACGAACGTCCTCTCGAGTCCTTGTATGTCTGGTGAATCTTAAGAATTGACATTAAAGCTGACTTTGACTTTGAAATGTTATAGGCCTACTGCATATTGAGAAAATTTAGATCGGTATTGCGCAACAATCGGGAGATGGGGACCCCCCCAAATATTGACAGGTATTTCGCACACTGGATATAGCCCATGCTCTCCATGAGCTCCAAGGAAGTAATTAACTAAAACCTACTATAACTAACTATAACCAGCCAAGTCGGAGAGCAGCAAGACAGGAGGAACAGCGAAGGCTGTAGGCTTCTGGGTAACACTGGGTAGCTGCTTTCAGCCAGCTGTGATAAAGAACATAGTCTGTTTTAAAACTTGTGCACTCTGCTCCTCATCTATACGTTAACAGCTGTTTCGGTGCGCAGCATGCTCACGCGCTGTTTCTACCATGATAACTGTTTATATGCAACATTTTCCCCATCATTAAAAGGTTAATTTGGGGGCATTTCCGGGGACAGCATTAGCCGGGGACGGTTGGTTGAAAACGGGGAGTGTACCTGGAAATCGGGGATGTCTGGTCATAAAGGCCATGTGAAGTATTTCACTGTCTGTTAGTGAACCAGTGTATCTCTGTGTTCTTGTTCTGATACCACACCACTTTGAGCCAGCAGATGGATAAGTCATAGATTTCCTGATAACAAGGAAACATTCACTCTCTAATCCTACATCAGAGAACCAGAAATATGTCTGATCAGGTAAGGCTCGGAGCCGTTTGGTTGGCTAACAGCTGTTAGCTTAGTTGGCTCTGGTGTTTAGCAGAGCCAAAAAAGTTAAAAAAGAATCCACTGGACTTGGTTTCCAAGTTTGAAGACGTTTGACTTCCCATCCAGGAATCTTTTTCAATTCAAAATGTCAGAAATAGCGTAGAGTTCGAGGCTTTATAGAGTGGACCAAAAACAAAGTGTTGTTTTCACTGAGAAATTCAATTTGCGTGTTTTTCGTCCATATTATAAAGCGTTAATATTGTTGAGTTAAAGCCTCAAACTCAAAGCAATTTCTGACTATTTTAATCGTAAAAGCTTCCTGGAAGGGAAGCGAAACGTCCAGGTTGGAGGTCGTCGAAAAGTCTCCATCTCCTTTCAATGGAGCGCTTACAGATCTCAGAGTATTTAGTTAAAAGTTCTCTTTTCTGTTGCTGTTGTTCAATAAAAGTACATTTTAAGATCATTTGAGGCGAGAACAGTATACTTTTTAGCGTCACTATATGGCCCATTTACCGATTTAATGTGTAATTTAAAAAAATGTCCTAAAGTTGCGAAGACCATGGCAACCAGTGGACATCCGAGGGTAACAGCAGCCAGGGCTAACGTTAGCCCGTCTGCAGCAGCCCTCTCTCAGCATAGCCGAGTCCGCTGGCTATGATGGCGTTTTTCCTTTCATTTGGCAAAATGTTAATTTGATTTGTGTTTATCTGCCTGTGTTAATTATTATTCCCTCATTAAATGAAAAAAAAAAAAAATTTTATTATTATCTAGAGACTTTTAATAACAGGAGGTGAAAAGCAGCACCAGACGAGCCGAGCGTGTGGTGACATCATCAGTATGCTTTTGTACAACATACTTGGCGAGGACACAAGTCAGTACTCGTCTTCTTGTGAATTGAGAAACTGCCACTTCATCACTTCTCTGTGAACATTCTTATTTCAACCGTTGCGTATATTAACTGCAACGTATGAATCAAGATGCTTTGACCCCCCCAAAAATTGATTGACAGATGACCGTTGATATAGGATTGGCTGAATTTAGGTGTTCAGGCTGACGTATAACTAACTGGCCGGCATAAGATAATAAAAACCCCACAGATTTTAAGACAGGATTTTTTTTTAAATGGCAATTTTCTAAATTTTGTTGGCTTAACTGTTGTTGGCTAAAGTAAATGAGCCGAACACAAATGTCCAAATTATTGGTGGGGACTGTCCCCACCCATTTCAAAGTTGGTGGGGACATGTCCACACTAGTTCTTCAGAAGGTTACGCCAGTGGGGTCACAGGTAAGCTGTAGAAGTTAATGGAAGTCAACGGAAAGGCCCCACAAAGATATATACTTCCTGATAGTAAAGAATTACAATAGTCCAGCCTTGAAGTAACAAATGCATGGAATAGTTCCTCAGCATCACTCCGGAGGAAGGAAATTCTAGACACCTCTTGA